CTTGCGATTGTTTGGGGTATAGAGCACTTCCATCTGTACCTGTATGGGGCCCCATTTACACTATACACAGATCACAAACCGCTTGAACTCATTTATGCAAACCCCTTGTCAAAACCCCCAGCTAGGATCGAAAGATGGATCCTGCGGTTGCAGCAATATGATTTTAAAGTGGTGTACAAAGCGGGGAAAGACAACCCTGCAGATTTTTTGTCACGTCACCCTTTGCCAGGCAAAGCAAAGGAAAGCAACATAGCCATGGCCAGAAATCGAGGTCAGCCAGCGGGTTGACCTGTGGGCTCAAAATCTCAAAAATTCAAAATGGCGGTTCGATTCTATAAGGGGAGCTATTGCAGAATATACCCGTCCACTTCTAAATACTTCACTTGTTATCATAACACGCGCGCAATAAGCGAAATATAGCTTACCCACGCTTTATAATAGCGTGAGTATACAATTATTACGTAATCATTTTCACTTCGTATCATCTTATCATGATCATGATAATTACAAGTGAGGTCTTCAAAAGTAGACGGGTATTCTGCAATCATTCCTATGCAAAACACTATATTTAGCTATAATCAAACAAAACTAAACGTAAATACTAATACTGGCAACATTAATCCACTTTATTATTGAAATCTCAGAACGAATCTTCGCCAACACAAACCAAATATATTCAATTTGCCGCGCTTGTTTTTATGAATATACGAGCAAATTTAAAAATAATACAGCGGTATAGGCCCTGGTAACCTAGTAACAACTCAAAACAATTCAGGAATGTAAAATGGCAGCAAGAAGCGAAGTGGCGACTGGCGAGCATATTTTGCTTGTTTATGCTAGTTTAGCGACTATTTCCCAGCGCTTGGTGGACTAAATTTTGACGAATCTGCGGCATGAAAATGCTATGTTTCAAGGCGTTCGGGAACAGGTTTAAGCAAGCCGTTGAACCTTGAAATGCAGCTAAAAGGAAAGTATTGTCCAGGTCTCGAATATACGTAGACGTGGGACCGTGCGAAAAGTCGACCATATGTGGCCAAATTTACGTAATGGAAAATCTCACTTCGGCAAATTATGTCGATTTAATAGGCGTTTATATACAAAGCGAGAAGTAGAAATATAAATCTCTCGGGAACATATCTACGCTACTCGGACTGTCGCCAGATTTTCAGGAGTTGATACTGGCCTTATTTGATAATTTTTTAGACGTGGGACCGTGTAATTTCTTTAGGGGATCGAACACAAAATGCGTATGTTGAATTTTCTCTTATCAAATCTATAGTATGCCGCCATTTTGAATTTATTTAGTGTAAGCTTAACGCGCATGCTTGTCAGCCATGTTGTCCTTCATTTCTGGCCATGTGATAAATATGTTAACTTTGTAACTGTTGCAGCAGTTCCCAGTGCACTCACTCTTAGCGACATCAGTAAGGCTACACGTGAGGATAAAGATCTCTGTACCTTAAGAGAGGCAGTTGAAACAGGGCACTGGGTGAACAATAGTCAGCTAGAACCATATAAGTATATTAAAGACGAAATCACAGTTAACTTTCATAACAATGTACTACTACGGGGCACACGAATACTAGTTCCCTCATCTCTTCGACAACAAGTCATTAACATTGCGCACGAGGGGCACCAGGGCCAAGCCAAAACGAAAGCGCTGCTGCGAGAAGCAGTATGGTTTCCCGGGATGGACAAGGCAGTGAAAGAAACAGTAGACAGCTGTTTGGCATGCCAGGCAAACTTACACATTAACCCACCAGAACCCATACAGTCACCACCCATGCCCGATCGTCAATGGAAGAAAGTTAAAGTTGACTTTTATGGGCCTCTCTCATCGGGACACTACGTGCTGGTAGTAATTGACTGTTATTCACGAATTCCTGAAGTGTAAACTCTGAAGTCCATTTCAGCTAAGAAGGTTATTCCTAAATTGGATTCTATATTTGCGAGGCACGGTATCCCTGTTCAGCTCACTTCTGATAATGGACCGCCATTCCAGGGGCATGAATTTAACCAATACATGACTGCCATGGGTATAAAACATTGCACCTCCACACCGTTATGGCCGCAAGGAAATGCAGAGGCTGAAGCATTCATGAAGCCTCTTGGCAAATGTATCAGGTCTGCACACTTGCAAAAGCGACCATGGCAGCAGGAACTCTCAAAGTTCTTACTTACATATAGGCAAACCCCACACTCTACAACCAAAGTTCCCCCAGCACAACTTTTGTTCAACAGTTCAATCGCAATATTCAAGGGAAATTGCCAACGATTACACCAACCCTAATAGTCAACAGACACAGCGAAGCACAGGCAAACCAAGGACAACAGAGAGATAAGGCAAAGCAATATGCAGATAAGAGACGCCATGCTCGACCAAGCAACATTAAAGTTGGTGACCAGGTCTTGGTGAAGTTATCAACTAACTTTTCTCCCCAACCATATACGGTGACGGCCATCAAGGGTTCCAAGGTGGTAGCAGAAAATAAAGACCATCGGATCACCCGAAATTCTTCATTTTTTAGGAAACTTAATAAGGAAAAGCGGATGGCAGAAGAAGAAGACGACGAAATGCCGGTAGCTAGAACGAGAGGAAGTGAAGTAGAAAATGCCGGGGAGATACAGCAAGAGGAACAACATGATGGCTTGAGAAGATCAACAAGAAACTGCATGCCGGTTGAACATTATGGGTTACTGTACATTCGTCAATAATAACTTGAAAATATTATCAATATTATGAAACTTTAGATATATAGTTATGTTACATTAATTAAAAAAAAAAGAAAAAAAGTTATGTAGTGACTATGTCTCTATGACGTCACGGACATGATACGTCACTAGGACATAGGAGACATGAGCACGAAATGTGCTCGGACAAGGGATGAGTTTTGGAGATTGTGAGCGAAGTAGTTTGTATTAAAACATTATAGTTAGACAATAAAAGATAAAACTCAACATCATGGAAAATTATCGCTATGTAAATACTTAAATTGGTTTAAGTTGAAACAAATAGGTTTTGGTTCGGGGTTGAAGTGTTCCCAATGGTCAACTTCAGGCCCATAGGCTCAGGTTATTTATGTAAATATAATCAGTCGAATCGTAGGTACTGTACAAGAGGATTATCACCCCTTGGTTCAGGTCTATGTCAGAGGGGGTCGCTACCAGTTCGGGCAGAGCTCCTACGGAGCATTCAGTCTCTCCTAGCAGGTCTTATATACCGTATTTACTCGATTGAGCGCCGCCCCCGATTGAGCGCCACCCCCAAATGAGCGCCGCATTTGAGATCAAATTTTCTTAAAGAGCGCTGCCCCCGAATGAGCGCCGCACTAATTATTTTCAAATGAGGCGCTTAATCAAATCCCTTTCAATGCGACGAATTCGAATTTACGTCTTCTGAAGTCGAGGAAGCATATCCAACAATGGTTACGATGCAGTAGCCGGACTCGGATCATGAAGAGGACAGTGACATTGATATTTTGTAAACTTGTAAACAGTGTAAAAACTTTCCGCCGTCAAAATGGGGACATTTAATGACAAAGACATTTAAAACTTGTTTATTTTATTGTTAAAAGTTCTTGTTATAATTCACAAATAAAATATTTTTAAGGAACGCCGCCCCCGATTGAGCGCCGCCCCCGAACGAGCGCCGCATCTGAAGCTCTGAAAATTTAAAGAGCGCCACGGCGCTCAAACGAGTAAATACGGTATACCCCTGCGGGATGAAAACATAAGGCTTAATGAGTCTTTGGGTTGACGAGAGTTTGAGAGTATAATGTATATAATTGGTTCACTTCACCCTGAACCCTTTCTCCCACAATGATTTGGTGTGTGTTTTACTTATTTTCGGGCTGTTCTTTCACCTAACGTGCTTGAATTATTAACAGAAATATCGGGAAAGAAACTGTAGGCTGTTGTTAAACCCAATCCAGGAGAATCTATTCTCTTTGCCAACACAGGACAGATTGGAAATTATTGTGGGCAAAACACCTCGTCCAGGATCAATAGAAGCGCCGGTTTGCTTTGAATTTGGACGTCATAGCCGCGTCAGGATGTGCCGTAAATAATTTTGTGAAAAAGTGGGTGATACGAATTTTATATGATTTAAAAAGAGAAACTCTGAAGGCAAAGTGAACTTGTTTTATTATATTGATATATATATATATATATATATATATATATATATATATATATATATATATATATATATATATATATATATATATATATATTCATGAATTAAAAGTTGACATTTGAATAAATTCGTGAACCAAGCTAGCTTGCAAAATCGCCAAAATGTAAACAAAGCAAGTTGTCTAGATCTATTATATTGTGTTCATGAAATAATACAACTAGGCTACATTTTTTTAAATATGACACATCTTTATATTTCTGATTCATGAATAATAAAAATCACTTTCTTAATTATAATAAACTATAATCATTTTGAAAATTATAATATTCTATTGAGTATATAACTATATATTGTATTTTTTCGACATTTGACCTTGTCTGCTGGCAAAATGCCTAGTACTGTCGATGCAATGGAAGTGTTGATAAAATATTGCACCAATTCCTTTCCTCAAGTTGATCAATTCATTTGATAGAAAATTGAACCGATTGACAAATAGAAAACGCACAGGAAGTAAAAAGAAATTTGAATTCGTATGAATTGATCAACTCATGCAGTTGAGGAAATGAATTCATGCAATATTTTATCAACACTTCCATTGCATCGACAGTAAATGTATAAAACAAAGCAAGATAAGGGGCCTATTGTATTTCATGATTCGCCCATTCCTGGGCTATGACATGTCTTTACCATACTCTTTATCCTAAAGACTTCACGGATTTGATTCCTAAATCATAAACATCTATTCTTTAATTTATAGTAAATTTTTCATTAAATGTGAAAACATTTTGAAACACTTGTTCTTTGTATTATTCAATTTATTTGAGGTGCCGAACTTGCCAGCTTGCAAAATGCAAATAAAACAAGGAATTCTATTATATTTATAAATTATAAAATGGTTAGGTCACTACAAGTTAATCTTTAGTTTCTGGTCCGGCTTTACCTTCGTTTAAGACGCGGGCGGGCGGGTGGTTAGGACTATAGGACATAATTACAATTGTGGCTTTGCCCACATTTTTGTGGTCTTTCTTCTCCTTCCCCGCAGGCCCTTTGTTGGGCACAGTGCAACCTCGTTAATTGCAATCTATATAGATCAGTGGCTGTGATATCATTGCCGGGCAATTGAATGATGGGATGAAATTTTACATAAATTGCATTTATATTATTTATAAATCGACATGTATGACAGATTACAAAGGATTTTACATATCAAAATGATCTATTAATATTTCTAGTTTTTTTACTTCGTAATCTCGATATTAAAGGCAGTGGTTTTTACCATTCAATATTACATTTTGCTAGGTCTTTTTAGTGTAAATTGAATATTTATCGTTCTATAAGTTAAATCCTTCGCGAAAATTTTCAAGAACTAGAAATTAATTGTAAATAACAAAATAGTCCTGAAATAATACTTTACGGAGAAAGGACGCGGGCGGCGGACCAGAAACTAAAGATCAACTTGTAGTGGCCTTATGGGGTGTGACATTATTGATTCATGAGCCATGGATCAATTTGGCAAATTGCGAGATATCAATGGATTGACGCATTGCCTTGGCCTTGCTTTGTTTACATTTGGCAATGAAATGGTTTCATCTGCATGCTAACAGAGACGACAGAGAAGTCTAGCATTTTAAAGTATATACTCAAGAATGAACACGGTTTTCAAATGACAAGTTTGTTCTATTTAAGGAAGTGACCTTTACAGTATGATTCAAGAATAAAAATCTAAATTTAAAACAATGTGAGCCAGACACATTTTATTCTTGCTTTGTTTATGCATTTTACAGGCAAAACTAGAATCGCGACTTATTCAAAGATCAATTTTCTCATGTATACCTATCAGTCACAATAGAACAATTTCACTTTGCCTTTGGAGTTTCTCTTTTAGTTTTAAATCACATAAAAACCGTATTTACCCACTTTTTCACCAACTTTATACGACACATCATGACGTCCAAATTCAAGCAAACCAACGCCTCTGTAGCCTGATAACAGACCTACGTTTCACCCGCCCTAAAATTCGTCGACGGAAAGGGCGAAACGTAGGTCTGATGAAAATGTTGTCAAAAGCGCCTGCCGCCCACTTTGCATTTTGCAATAATTAACGATGATGATTTTCACATCATGTAATACCTAAAAATACAATGAAAGTTGTCGATTTCACTTTATTGCAAGTTTGTAAACTAGTAAGAGTCGATAAGTACAGATATTCGAATAAATATTTAAAATATTGGTAACCCTATGGAGCCCGTTGCTTTTATATACTTAAACCTCTGTAAATGAACAGTTACAGCTAGTAATAATACGTCAACATTTTCAACACATTCTATAAATGCGATAAAATCTGCTTACGCAAATTTGGCAATGGCCAATGTGCCATTGTTGAATTGCATCCCAACTCTTACAAATTATACATTTTGAAATCGCCATACAATTAATGGTAAAATCTAAATAAAATATTTTGTACGTGCTATGTTATCAAAATGTAAATCATGAATGCGCACATATTTGTATCTGAGTTTTACTATGATTTATAATTATATCACAAAACTTAGATCGTGTATAAAAAAATATATATTGTATTGTTTATTACAACGGAAAGATACAACGCTGAAGAATTTGACACGTACTGATCTACTCCCCTCTAGTTTTAATTTTAGACGGTAGATACTGATCATAGACTAGTTGTCGTTCGGCATCACAAAATATTTAGAATATTACACTGTATGCATATTTATATGCGTTGATTTACCGTTGAAAATATTCTGATCTTTTCAAATCTTTTCATGTTAGCGACCAACCAATCACAACCCATTTCCCCGTGAATTAGCCAATCAGCTTTGTCGACTGCCAGGCGGTCGACTTACATGCACTTTTGACAACATTTTCATCAGACCTACGTTTCGCCCTTCGTCGACCCGCGAATTTTAGGGCGGGCGAAACGTAGTCTGTTATCAGGCTAACGTCTCTGACTCTGTATTGATCCTGGACGAGGCCAGCCTCGTTCCCAGGCTCTTCCCTCTTGTTGAGGTAAGAGGGAAGAGCCTGGGAACGAGGTTGGGACAAGGCGTTTTGTTCACATTAATTTCCTCCAATCGCCTGCATTGGCAAAACCGAGGGCAAAGCGAATATATTCTACTGGATTAGGTTTAACAACAGCCTACAGTTCTTTGCCGTTTTGTCCCGATATTCAATATATAAATCAAGAATCCGAGATGGAAAATATCATCAGCGTATACGTGTTTGACCTGCACACTCTCAGCCATAAAATTAGTATCTCGCCCAATCTGCCTGTCAGTTGGATAACCGAAGGTTAAGGATATAGTTCCTGATTTAAATTTCAATCGAAATATCGAAGAAATTTCCAGAAACATCTAATATATACTCGATTTTGTCAAGACACTATAGTAAATCACAGAGAGTAAATCATATGTATTTTGTTTTGATCAGTTCCCGGTATGACGTGACGCCGGCGCAAAAAGGCATTCTCGCTCCAGTACTTTCATGCTGGCGGTCAAACGCTCAAAATAGTCAAAATCGCCAACGTTGAGCCCCTGAAAGTCCATGAAGATCAAATTTTCCA